ATTGTACCTGTTAGGTGGGTTTCTGACACCCCCCCCACCCCCCGCACCCTCCACCCCGCTTGATTTCCACTAAGTTTCACTTCCCTCTGGGCACATGTGTGCTCACAGATATTTCCAACTTAATAGCCAGTACATGTGGTGTTTTTCCATTCTTCAGATATTTCACTTAGGAGAATGGTCTCCAGTTCCATCCAAACTGTTCCAAAAGACATTAACTCATCCTTTTTATGGCTGAATAGTACTCCGTGGTATATATACATATAGCACATTGTATTAATCCATTCACAAATTGATGGGCATTCAGGCTGATTCCACATCTTTGCAATTGTAAATTGTACTGCAATAAACATATTCTAGTGCAGGTGCCTTTTTTTTTGAAGTTCTTTTGGCTGGGGCCAGGTTTGAACCCGCCACCTCCTATGTATGGGGCTGGTGCCCTATTCCTTTGAGCTACAGGCACTGCCCTGTGCAGGTGTCTTTTTGATTAAAAAGACTTCTCTTCCTTTGGGTAGATACCCAGTAGTGGGATTACTGGATTGAATGGTATGTCTACTTTTAGTTCTCTGAGGATTCTCCATACTCTTTCCTGAGAGGTTATTTCATTTGCAGTCCCACAAGCAGCGTGTAAGTGTTCCTTTTTGCATCCATGCCAGCCTCTATTGTTTTTGGACTTCTTTTAAAAAATTTTTTATTAAGGCATAGCTTGTGTACATTAATGCAATTATGGGGTACAATGTGCTGGGTTTATATACAATTTGAAATACTTGGCGGTGCCTGTGGCTCAGTGGGCAGGGTGCCGGCCCCATATACCAAGGGTGACGGGTTCAAACATGGCCCTGGCCAAAATGCAACAACAAAAAAATAGCTGGGCATTGTGGTGGGCACCTGTAGTCCCAGCTACTCAGGAGACTGAGGCAAGAGAATCGCTTAAGCCCAGGAATTAGAGGTTACCAATTCCTCCAATTGGGCAATAAAGTGAGACTCTGTCTCTACAAAAAAATAATAAGAAGAAGAAAATAAATAAATAAATACTTTAATCAAACTGGTTAACATAGCCTTCATGGCATTTTCTTCGTTACTGTGTTAAGACTTCTTAATAAAAGCTGTCCTCACTGAGGTGAGGTGATTTCTCATTGTGGTTTCAGTTTGCATTTCCCTGAGGATTAATAAAATTGAACATTTTTGCATGTATTTATTGACCATTTGCCTGTCTTCTACTGAAAAACTTCTGTTTGGCTCAGTGCCGGTAGCATACTGGTTACAGTGCCAGCCACATACACCAAAGCTGGCAGGTTTGTACCCGGCCTGGGCCAGCTAAACAATAATGACAACTGTAACAAAAAATAGCCGGCCATTGTGGCAGGTGCCTGTAGTCCCAGCTACTTGGGAGGCTGAGGCAAGAGAATCACTTAAGCCCAAGAGTTTGAGGTTGCTGTGAGCTGTGATGCCGCAGCACTCTACTGAGGGTGACAGCTTCAGACTCTGTCTCAAAAAAAAAGAAAGAAAGAAAGAAAAGAAAAGAAAAACTTCTGTTCATGACTTTTGCTCACTTTTTAATTGAGTTGTTTGCTTTTTTCTTGCTGATTTGCTTGAGGTCTTTGTAAATTCTGGATGATAACCCTTTGTCTTATGCATAGCTTCTGATTATTTTCTGCCATTCTGTAGATTGTCTATTTGCTCTATTGATGATTTACTTAGCTGTGCAGAAGTAAATCTCATTTATTTATTTTTGTTGTTGCTATAGTTGCCTTTAGGGGTCTAAGTCATAATTTCTTTCTTTTCTTTTCTTTTCTTTTTTTTTTTGCCTAGGCTGATATCCAGAAGTATTTTTTTACATTTTCTTCTAGAAGTTCTGAAGACTTCATGACTTACAGGCAAGTCTTTTACTCATCTTGATTGATTTTTGTGAGCAGTGAAAGCTGGGGGTCTTGTTTCATTTTTCTATATGTAGCTACCAATTTTCCCAGCACAGTTATTGAATAGGGCTTCTTTTCTGTGGCATGTATTGTTTGCTTTGTCAAAGATCAGTTGGCTGTAGGTAGATGGTTTTACATCTGGGTTCTATATTCTATTCCATTGGTCTATGTCTATTTTTATACCAATACCATGCTATTTTGGTTCTTATACCCTTATAGTGTAGTTTGAAGTCTGGTATTCTGAACAGGTATTCTAATGCCTATAGATAGACATGATGGCTATGTTAGCCAGTTGGATGAGAGTTTTCCAAACTGCATATGGAAGCAACACACTGTATCCTATGATAGAATTAATGTACACAATTATGATCTAATAAAAATTTTTAAAAAAACAACAAAAAAACAAACAAAAACTACTGAATATATGTTCTTCTTAGCTGCACGTGGGACATTCTCTAAGATTGACCATATCTCAGGCTACAAAACATAAATGGAGAAATAAATTTAAAAAAATCAAAATCATACCATCACCAGAATAAAATCAGAAATCAATCACAAGAGAAATACTCAAACCTACACAAAGTCATAAAAATTAAACAACCTGCTGCTGAACAATTACTGGATCAAGAATGGGACTAAGATGGAACTCATAAGACTCTTTGAACTGAATGACAAAAAGCTATTTATTCCTGCTCACTCTCAGAGACAAAAAGGCACAGGTATACAGGCTTTTTCACCTGGGGCCCCATCTTCAACTTTCATAAACACAAAAACTCCAGGATGGAGGTGTGGTCAGCCCCCAGTCACAGAGCACAGCATAGGTGAACAGCTGTTCTTACTGCTCCCTTCCCAACTCAGTGGATGTAATGCTTAAGGCTACTACTGAAAGGCTGGGTCCTGAGCAGACCTAGCAGCAGGGCAAACAAGACGGTGTTGGCTGTAGAAACCTAAGATTGGCAGCCACAAGATCTCTGCTGCACCTGTTCTCTACTGCAAGGTCTCGTCACAGACTCTAAGCAGCTCCCGGATCAGCATAGAGCATTGCAGTAGAAGAGTGAGCCCCCTTACAGCTCAACTTGCCTGCTACTTTTATTCCTCTCCTAAAAAGTCGTGCTCCTTCATGCTGTTTCCATTCTGCTCTCTTCCCAGGAGTGTGAATTATATTGAATTAATATAATTCTAAGGGGTCAGAAGATTTTTAACCTGTGTTTTGTTGCTTGTGAGTGACAATTGGTCATGCCCTGTTTGATTGATTTAGTAGAAGCTGTAACGGGCTTTACAGTTGTTCTCCCCATCAGTTGTTGATACTTGTAGGAAACAGCTAAGCTCCTTTACTTAATGTCAAATGATTGTAGATGTTAATCACATCTATACAATAATAACTTCACAACAACACCTAGATTAGTGTTTAATTAAATAACTAGTGTCTGTAGCCAAAGAAAATTGATCCATAAAATTAACTATCACTTTCCTTGCTAAAATAAAAGCAGAATAAAACTAAATAGGGCATATTGATAAATTCTAAAATAGGATACTTACTTCCTCCCTGTTGGAAAAAGCGGTATACTTTCCTAACAACAGTGATCAATATTTTTATTTTATTTATTTATTTATTTTAGGTTTTTTTTTTTTTTTTTTTTGAGACAGAGTCTCATTGTGTTGTTCTGGGTACAGTGCTGAGTCACAGCTCACAGAAACCTCAAACTCTTGGACTTAAGCATTTCTCTTGCCTCAGGCTCCCAAGTAACTGGGACTACAGGCACCTGCCACATGCCCAGCTATTTTTTGGTTGTAGTTGTCATTGTTGTTTGGCAGGCCCAGGCTGGATTCGAACTTGCCAGCTCCAGTGTATGTGGCTGGCACCCTAGCCGCTGAGCTACCAGTGCCGAGCCTGATCAATATATTTAGATGCAATTTAGAAATTCAATTAACATGTTGTTAATGGTAAAAATATCACTAGTATCAACAAATTGTTAATGTAGTTGAGTGTAGATAATAGGAGGCACAATCACATTTCTGGTGATCTAATTATATGCATAATGCCACATGTGGGGAGATCATGAATGAGTGGGTTACTATTCAGATTAGATTGAAGAATGTTAGCTTTGGAAGAGGTCTCAGCAATCAGTAGTCCAGAAGGATCTATAGAAAATAGTTTCTGAGGATATTAGTTAAGTGTTAAGAAGAAGAAACCAAATTTTAATATGCCCATTATAAATAAAACATTAATCATAACCAAGTCAGTTCTCTTAATGCTAGGCGATTAATTCTTTTTCGTTAAATTAAGAGTCTACTTCCATGAAATTAGTCACTTCAGGAGGAGAGAATTGGGGGGGTGTTCTAACCCAGTTTTCACCAAGTCTGACAGGTGTCTGATCTCTTTGTAATAATGATGTCAGCTTTGTCTGGCAAGTCTAAAACTATGAGTCTATTTTCCTATAGGGTCGAGTAGTTTATAATTCTTTGCTAAAGATACTTAGAAATTTTTTTCAGAATTTCTGATCTGTAGTTAATAGCAAATGCCTTTAGGCACGTGTAACAGAAAAGCAGAAACCTATTGATGATAAACAGAACAGCTCTGGTTATTATTTTATATTAGACAGAATTATTACGATGAAGAAAAATGGACTCTTCTATTAATATACATGATTTAGTCATATCTCTACCTTTACCTTGAAGCAACAGACTGTGTGTCTATCTTTTTGAAAATATTTGCTAGATGACAAAGCATGGCCTGCTAATTTGTTCTCCCGTAGGGGTCAGAAGATTGGTGACCTTTGTTTTTCGATCTTTATGTGTGGCAACTACTTTAATAAACTTGTTTTTGCCATGAGGTGAACCTTTGTGTGGCACAGAAGATTTTTGTGGTTATTCCCTGCCATTTCAATGTAATTCACTCAATTTGGTACATATAAAATGCTCTAGGTTGCAATACATAGGAAAGAAGTGAACCAACAAAAATATCACTGACAATCTCCCCTTCTGCCTTCTTTTCCGTATTAGTTAGGATCTTCTAGAGAAACAGAAATAGTATGGTATATGTGTGTATATGTAAAATAGTTGGCTATTTGAAATTACACATGAACTTTAAGGACAGCCTGTATACATATGGAGAGAGAGATTTATTTTAAGGAGTTGGCTCACAAGATTATGGGGGCTGGTAAGTCCAAATTTTGCAGTACAGGCCAGCAGGCTGGAGACCCAAGGAAAAGTTGGTATTGAGGTCCCAAGATCAAATGCAGTCAGTGTAGAGGCAAAATTCCTTTTATTTTCTTTTAGTTTGGAGGACTTTAGTTTGTTTCTCTCAAGGTCTTCAACTTAGTGGATGAGGCCAAACCACCTTACAGAGGGTGATTTGCTGTACTCAAAGTACACTGATTTATAATTCCATCTAAAAAATATCTTCCCATCTTCCCAGCAACATCTAGTCCAGTGTCTGACCAGACATCTGAGCACCATAGACTAGCCAAGCTGACACATGAATTAACCTTTACTTTCTCTTACTCCAGGGGACCATCCTGGAAAGTCCTGGGATACAGCCACTGCAGTGTGGAGATTTTTCTAAGCTGCCTAAGCAGGGCCTTAATGGTTCATCAGTCTGTAGGGCAACTCTAAACTCTAAGGTGTGCCTGTATGAATTGGATGGAACAGGTAGGTGAGTGGGAAAGACCAATTATTTTCTAGGCACCTGTTCTAGGCCCTAGGCCTATCATAGGGTAAAAAAAAAAAAAAAAACAACAGATGAGGTCTCACAAAACTTGCTTTCCAACAGGTAGAGTTTTTTTTAATCTACATTCAAAAACAAAACCAGCTATGTGCCATGGAAGAAGAAACTAATCAGGAAAGAAGGTGGCATTTCATCCAGGCCTTGAAGAACCCATCTGAAGTACAAAGTGGAGACTTAGTAAATGCTGTTGAATTACTTTCTAAGAAGCAACAGCAAAAAACATCTCTTTTTGCAATTGATTCTTAGGAATTATTATTCATTATAACTTTCCCTTTTATTCTGAGTCAGCTGCCTCCTTATCTTCTTGACTTCTTTATGAATTCTACAAGTATTTTGCCTTTTAAAGGACCATCAGCAGAATTTCTCATGTAAAATGCTTGTTGCAGAGACTCCTTGCCAGGATCATTACTCTGTGCTCCAGATCACTTGCAACTCAGAAAATGCCCGGTTAAAAAAAATGCATACTGGAAACTTGACCTTAAAAACCACCCCCCCCCTTTTTTTTTTTAGACGGAGCCTCAAGCTATCCCCCTGGGTAGAGTGCCATGGCATCACAGCTCACAGCAACCTCCAACTCCTGGGTTCAAGCGAGTCTCCTGCCTCAG